CCTAACTAATACACTGGCCCAGTGGTTTGTCTGTGCTTTTGCCAGGAGATTGCTCGGTTGTACAGAACACTGTGTATCGTCGCGCCTTAAAATCCAGACCAGTGAGCTTGTTCGCTTAGCGGCGGCAGCACTACCGAAAAGAATTCTTGACGCAGCTGCAACGGCTACTCAGAGGAAAGGAGGGCTTAAAACTGAATGACGAGTGCATAATGAAGCATCCGATTTAATTACTTATAGAACAATGGGCTTCACTGCACACGACATCAATACTGCAACAGCCCTCATCGCCCAAAACGACTAATTAAGTCGTTCAATCTTGAAGCGCTGAAGAATGAGGAATGTTCAGGAAAAGACTCAGAGTACTGTTAAGAGGAAAACACAACTAAGAATAAAAAAGGGTAGAACGATTGATAGGTCCAATTTGAACCTTCTTTTGTGTACAACTTTATGCATGTAATACAGGCTTCATTATTGGCTTGATGTAAATTCACCTTGTCGAAAAAGCTGCAGCAGCGTAATGGCTATCACCATGATAAATTCATCCATTCATTTTTACTTAAGTGTCCCCCAAAGAAGACGTCAAGCAACAAACCCATACAAGGGCAGAAAAGAATATTTACAAATGTTAGTCAACCTAAAACACTTCAGAAAGGAAACAAGGCGATGGCGATTGTGCCAGATGCAGTGGCTTACAACAGCTTTTCCTCAGCTGCTACTCATCTTTGTTGGGATCGATTAAGATCATAACTATGAAAGAGATAACGTATAAGAGATAAATATTGCACTGCAGATAATTTTATCGAGTGCCTGGATTATTCGATAGTCACGCTTTAGGTGGTCTGGATCGGCCTGCACAGTTTAACAGTTGTTTTAATCCGATGAAGTTTATACAGTTGTAGCATGACTGATATATTACCATAGTTACCAGCTACACATTTGTCTTGTTTGTTGACAATAGTCCAGTAATCGGCAAAAATTTATACATATGTAATATGTAGAAACACCAGCACTTCCCATCTGTGACGGAATGATCAAATCACTGTTGTTCGGAAGGTACGATGACGACATATGGCATCTGCGAAAAAGATACGGTAGCGCTTGTCATGCATCATATCAACGATTCGCATTTGCAAGAAATCTTATTTACGATTAAAGCACATACACTTATCGGAATTAATCATTCCATTAGCATCCTGAAAATCACGGAGCCTACCTTTCCTTTATGAAATGTACAAGGAAAAACGATTAAGTAAGCAACTCAAACTCATTGGTGACTTAACTGAAGTAATCGTCCATCTCTGACTCTGCCAACTCAGCTGTAGCCATACTATTTCTTTTTCAATAGATAGAACATCAGCTACGAAAGCTATCGCAATATTCATACATCATGATGCCAAACCTCATACGGTAAACAATCACTCAATCAATGCAATACAACACATAATAAACAATTAGAAAGTATGCCAGTCAGAATCGTCGCAAGACTGTCCGCATATCGAAACTCGCAACAATCAGAGGCACTTTCTCCAGTGAACTGTGCCGCATATTGTCGTTATGAACAATATAAAGATGGAAGAAAATCGAAGACAGTGTGCCACGTGAGAATAGACATACTGCATTAGCAGTAGCAACACATAACAAACACCGCACTACAAACATGGAGAAAGTCACAAAAAATATCAAAGGGACTGCATCACGCTAGAGGCGACAGTATATAGAGCACTTGGTCACTGGGACAAAAGATCTGACATTAGTCAATCCGCTTGTAAAAGTCAAATTATAGAATCACTTAAAGTTTTCGTGCACCACACGGCCTCACCGCTTGTTCTGAGACTCACAGCACCCATAGAGGTTTCAATAATTTCAAGCAATCCTACCGACATACCAGCTGACAGTTCTGGACAAGAACCGCAAAAAGGAAACTAAGAAAGGATAAGTAAAACTACCTGGCTTGATACTTCAAGGATCTAAGAGCATGTGTATATATTCGACAATGGTCAGATTCCTATCTCTGCATAAAATATTTAAACTCAACCAATTTTCCCAACTATTGACATGATGAGGTTAATCGCTACTTTTGTAAAATCGCTATTTTTGTTGGTAAAACTACTGAAACACGGTACTAATCAGCTCCAGAGTAATATGACACCCACGTTAACACTAAACTAATTACGTCATGCTCTGATCACGTGAGTAAAGCGTAATACCTAAATTAATAGGTAGTTAATTAATGAGTAAAAACCGCTAAAATCTGCATGCCAAAACTGGTAAATTGCATATAATCTACTACGCAACCGAAGAAAAAGTAGCCATCAGTAAAAACAGAGCTTGACAATAAGCAACCTATCTGGCTGCCACAACCAATGAAAAGAAGACATGGACCTTAGCCTCTGCAAAACTGGAAGTACACCGGATATGTGAGAGCCTGATGGCGAAACAAGATCTGCAGAGATTAAAGACGCATAAAAATTAGATCAGCAGAGTCACGACTCAACAATCAGAGGATGAGACCGACTATTTGAAATGAAGCTAATAGAACAGGTATCTGTTACCGATGGCATTTGCAGCGTGAGCAGTAGTGACCGCAAATTTAAGACTATTGGTAGCCAGTGGCCATCATCGTTCGCTGTAACAAAAATTGTACGAAAACAAAATGTACGAAAATACAAACTGTCCAGTAAATTGCTTCAGTGGCTCGTTGAAGAATAAGTTCCTCACGAACTCTGTCCTGTCCAATAAAGATGTGTCCGCTCTTCTTTCATCTAATGTGCTGCGGTCAATTCAGGGTTCCAATTCAAGATTATTTGATAAAATCTCCCCCTGAAAACGAATATGAAAAGCATTTACTTCTTCAGGTGGTAACGTTACAAAAAAATACACCGACACAACAATGCACAGACAAGAGGCAACAACTATAGAAGGGTATATGTACTAGGCAACATAAAGGGTAGTAACGAAAAACGTAATCGCTCTGATTTGCACTTTAGAGCTGCAAGAACGAATCGAACGGCAGTTCGAACAATAGAGACAGCATGGTGTTCTGATGTGGTCATGCTAAAAAAAGACTTGTGCAACTTATGCCCATGATGTTTAACAAGCGTACCCATAGCTAAATAGCTGCTGTTGCCTCGACCGAAAAGACAGAGACTAAACCACCCTACCTCACGAGGTGTAATCCGTAAACAAAAATATAAATAAGGGACAGGATGAGAGATGAGTGAATAAAAGCATAAGACTTGATCTGCGACGCGCTTGTTAAGACAGTGAAAAAAATGGCAAACGGCATCATAGGTTTCAAGCAGTTCACCCCAGAACATGAGAAACAACAAACTGTAAGGGGGTGAAAATATGGGATCACTAAGCCTGTCAGCCATGGCAAATTCCGGGTACAGAATATATGGGATCGCAGAGAATTCTTTGAGACTAACGAAATCAATCAACAGTGGAGTGAACCCGGTCTAAGTTTATCCGTCTATGCTATAGGTTCATCAGTATAGAGAAGCAACTGCAATACATAAACCATCGAATAAACCAAGTATCGAATAAACATACAAACTGTAACGGAAAGTAATCCACATAAATATGATTTTATGTCGAACTGCTGAGTAATAAGCTTTTCCCGCTCGACCAGAATTTTTCAATGCTTTAAAAATGAAGATCAAGGTCGAAAGACAGAAACCGATAACTTAGCCATGGCTAGCAGTGTGCCACAATGGTGACGAGTATGACTAAGTAGTTCAAAGTATTTTAACCTCTCCTATCTACAAACAGACTGTATTCAGCATCGCTACTGGAGAAGTTGCCTGACACCTAGTTCACCGTAGAACACATGTTAGAAAACGATGGCCATCAGAACATCAGGTAGCGGAAACCGGTTGGACAAGAAACCAATTGGGCGAGCGGCTCAGACGAGGTCGCCGACTGAAAACTGCAATCCTCACTTCCGGCACACACTGGGCGGTTTGGAGAGGTGCTGTGAAAACATTGGATACGCTTTGCCGCCGGCTAGTAACTGCAAGCACGGCACGAAAACGGCCATGTCGGTCTGTTGGCAGAACGGCGACCAGTCATCGACCTCATCAAACCAGTCACAGAACCGACAAAGCCGCACCGTGCGACCAGTTGACAACGAACATAAGAACGAGGCATGAAAGCAGACGAAAACAACAACGGAAGTATGAGTACACGGTTCATATAAAATACAAGTTTCGATAAAAATGGAGACAACATTGACAGTGGTTTACAGAACAAAGCATCGACTGTTTTTTATCACCTCTCAAAAGGAATTTGTTTTCCAGTGAGAAATGACAATACGCTGGTATGGTCCAAGACTGACTGGCAAACGAAGCAGCGGAAATTGGCAACTGATACATTTTCATGGGGAGACCTATCAGAGCGAAGGCTTGTTGGCGGAAATATCAATAACTGCTGAACTAACTGCAAAATGAAAGCACAATTTTAAAACAAAGTCCCAACTGAAGAACGCATTCTACTACTACTGAAAAGAATATGAAGAATAGTTCTTCATACTCTTTGGAGAGGCAAGTGATATTTGTTTTCGAAGTAGTGACAGCTTTTTTCTCTGTGCTGGCTGCAATAGCAAGATGACGGCCTCCTTCGGTCGTGAAACAGTCTCTGAATCTTTACCAGAAAAAACCTTTGTGCATGGGTCATTACATGCAACAGTGACTGGAAATCGAAGCTACCAAGTTTAAAAAGCAGAGGAGAAAGGGTATTAGAAGATACTGGCTGAGCAGGTGAATACCATTAGTGACAAAAAATAACACATCCCTGGTTTGTTACAAGTTCAATTCAACAAGCTACCGAAAGAAGCTGAACAGAGCACTTCACAAAGCTCCTTAACAGGCCAAGCTCAGGGACAGATCTTGAAGCGGCACGGAAGACCTTGAAGCGGAAGAAAACAATGCGTAAACGATGTGCACGTTGACATCGAAACACCACAACTGAGGAAATCCAATAAGTCAAATGTTTCAGTCAAAGCTCGACGTCCTGCGGGCTCAAAGGGATTCGTTCGGAAATACTGAGGCACAGAGAAGAAAATCTCTGCTAGATCGGCGAAATTCGGTGATCCCGAAAACT